GGGCTCGTTGCGCAAGACTTCAAAGGAAATGGATGGGATTTGTTCAGTGATCCTGCACAAGAGGAAGGGTGATTAGCATGGATGGAGTGGTCTTGACACTTCGGGCCGAGGCTCACCTGTACGCGCAACGGATGATGATGGCGATGTAAGCCACGACGAGGCAATACACAAAGATGCGCACCCTCTTGGCTTCCTTCTCCGTGGCCGTTGCCCGCGACGTCGCTATGCCGAGCCTGGTGCCGTCTGCGTTGAGAACCTCTGGTTCGGGCGCCTGGTTTTCAAGCAGTGTCGGACCGGTTTTGAGCGCTTTCTTCCGCCTTGCTGTGTAGATGAGCATCAGGCTGCCGCAGACGAGCATATTGACTACTTGGAAAACGACGCCGCCGATCACGAGCTTCTCGCCAAGACTGGCGATCGTCTCATTGCCCTCGCCTGCGGCGCTCGCAGCAGTAGCGCCACCGCCGATGACCTGGATGAAGATGGAGAAGAAGTCGGTGCCGACAAAGACCCAGGGGTACAGCGACGGCCGGAGGAGCGACCACTGCTGACCGTACCATATGACGAGGCTCTTGAAGGTGACGGAGATGGCGGCGGCGACGAGGGTCGGTGCCAGCAGGATGGTCAGGAAGTTGATGGCGAAGGCGCTGAACGACCACGGGTTAACCGCGAGACGGGTACGCGCCCAGTACCCGGCGACCTCGAAGGCTGTGCCTAGTCCTAGCCATATGAGGTACGACCAGGTCCTAGCACGGCAACCAAAGTAGATCTGAATGAGAAGACAGATGGCAAAGGCTATTCCGAAAAAGTAGGCTGCGCCGCTGGAAAGCTTTGCGCCGTAGATTGTGGCTTCTACGGGGCACAGGTCTGAGAGCTCGTCACACGAGCTGTATGTCGGGATGAATGTATCGTTGCTTGCCATGATTTTCGATGAAGCTCGACAGCGTGGTCGACGGGACAAGGTGTTGGAAACCAGATAACGAAAACAGGAGGGGAAACCAGATCAGAAGTGTGTTGTAGGACACCTGGTGCAAGAAGGGTAACGATAGGGAGCCGATATGAGAATGAGTTCCTCAGCAGCACATCAGTGATCATCAGCTTGAAGATTCATCCCATAATATGACACCACACATGTCTGTTCGGAGTGGAGTAGGCATTTGACGTGGATCCCTGGCCTGTCGTCTCTGTCTGCCTTGCCGTCAGGAGGAGTCGCCCAGCCTTCAGCCTCCTGTCGCAAGACCCGTACGAGGCATCCAAGCCATCCAAGCATGCGAGGAATCTAAAGGCGGCGTCAAACAACCAATAGCACACTCCTGTGGACTCAATCGCCTTCGATAAACATGTGGAAAGGGGTCAATAAGCTTGGTGCGTCGTCATCCCGCCTATGGCTCTGCCGTGTCTGATCCCCTGTAGAGTGGGCCGCCCGAGCTTCGGGGTTCAAAAATTGCCCGTCCCAAGACTTCGGTTCTTGTAACGCCAAGACCGTTCATCACCGATGACGGCCGATGGCGGAGTCAACGTCGGCGGCCTCATTGCTGTGAACTAATCAATCGATCGCTGGTCCCAGGGGTCGACTTTTCTTCCTTATTCGCGACGACAGGTTCTTCACTGTCACTTTTGGTACGGAGGCGGAAGTTTTTTAACATCCGTCGCCCACCCCGCCAACCACCAGGTCTCACACGTCTTGCCCAGCCCCGCTCCTCGGGACACATCAATACTGAATCCGGAGCCCTGATTTTGTGTCTTGGCATCTGTCTGGCATCAGGAATGAGCGACACGGACGGTGAGAATGACGCCGACGCTGGTTCGAACCAGGGGCCGCCATCAAGCCGCCGAAAGGTCGCCTGCAGTCAATGTCGGCAACGAAAGGTCAAGTGTGACCGCGAGCACCCCTGTCTTGCGTGTTTGACGGTAAGCAAGAATACGATCAATTCAACCCCATGTTTTTGCTTGGTGACACTAATAATCTCGTGGCAGACTGGTCGGGATTGTACCGTTCCCCCTGCCCCGGGTCCGCGACGGCCCAGAAGGCAGAACAACCATGTGCTCCGTGCAAAACTCGAGAGCCTCGAGTCGCTCCTTCAGCAATGTATCGAGTCCCAACGCACAGATGTTGAAAAGCAGGCTCCCGAATCGGCCGGTCCAGTTGACCTTCCCCCAACGGCGCCTCAACCTACAGAGAGCGACGACGAGGCGAAACAGCCGAAGGGTTACCTCGTGCAGACACGTAGTGGCGGCGTTGAATTCCGCAGTGGGAAAATTTCCTCACTCGTCTTTCATGATGTAAGTTGGCTTTCTGCTCGGCACACCATTAGGCTCACGCAAGGTGCCAGTTGCAAACGATCAAAGCTGTCCTCCAGGTCGAGGCCGAACAGGGCGCGTGGTTACCGTTCTTTCCATCGCAGACATCCAGTCAACTCAGTGGTGGCACACTGACAGTGAGAGAATGTATACCGACGCCTAACGAGGTCGTTTTGCTCTGGGGCATCTTTCTCGACAGGGTCGACCCCGTCACAAAAATCATCCATGTCCCGACATTCAGCGCCCGAATCGTCGACGCCGCCGCCAACTTTGGCAAGATGGCTCTGCAGATGCAGGCCCTCATTTTCTCTCTTTTCCTAGTTGCCTCCGGCTCCTTGTCTCGGCAGGAACATCACAATCTCTTAGGAAGAACTAAGAGTGACACCATGGCTACGCTGAGCCGGGGCTTCAAAGCGACAATGACGCAGCTTAACTATGTCAGAAAATACAATTCTGAGGTTCTGAGGGCCCTCATATTCTACTCGGTAAGCTCACCTGAGACACTCGACGCTGGGAAAAAGACATGCGGGGCATCTGCACTAAACATCATCTCTGTCATCAGCTCGCGCGGCAGGGCGCTCAGCGACGGTCTTGCGACCCATGGGTTCTGCATGGCCTCATCGTCAACATTGCCTACAGTCTCGGTCTTCACATTGATGGCGAAGGTACAGGCCTCTCGCCTTTTGAGAGTGAAATGCGGAGGCGCCTGTGGTGGCAGGTGGTGGAACTCGATGTTAAGCACACAGTAGCTGCGGGCGTTGGGACGTTTCTCATGCGGAAACTCTCAAGCACCAAGCTCCCCTCGAATCTCGATGACCGCGAACTCGACCCCGACATGGTTACGCTTCCCCAAAACCACATCGGACCGACTGGCATGAGCTTTTGTCTGACAGCGTATGAACGCTGCTTCTGGATGGCCGGCAAGCTGCAGCAGAACGAAATCAACCTCATCGATGAGCTAATCTTTTCCGACCCCACCCGAGAAGTGGACGAGACGGCTACCAAAAAGCGTAGTGACACGCGAGACTGGGTTCTTGATCTTATGGCCACATCAGCACGAGACCTGGGACCCATGGCGCGGCAGCGATGCCCAGATATGAGCAACCCCTTACATGCTATGATCACGCAAACAATGGCAAGCCTAGAAAGTATATTACTGGCACTGATCATGCCTATACAAGAGACGCCCGAATGGGGAACTGAGGTTCACGGGCCAGCAGATAACCTCTTCCGCATCAGTGTGGTGGCCCTCGAGTTTGCTCAACGTGAACAGCAGGACTTTGGGCATCGCTTTCTCTGGTACGCAAATATTAGTTTCACGCTGGATGGACTGTTCTATGTTATCGCCCAGCTACAAGAGCGCGTGTCCGGTTCACTGGCTGATAGAGCATGGGCGTGCATCGAGAAGGCATATGGATACCACGAGGAACTGTGGGATCTGGAGGATAAGGAGACTATGATGCTGGGCAACCTAGTTATTGCTGCTTGGGATGCGCGACAGACACACTTTGTCCGTAGACGGATACCCTTGCCGGAGCCGCACTTTGTGACGACTTTACGGGAAACGGTGATGATGATGAAGGTGCAGGCAATGAGTCTGCTGGCGGACGTTTAAGGATGTCATGGCACTGTTCACCGCCAGTAAAATGAAGAATTGGGCCCGCACGACATTGGGCCCAAAGCCAAGGGCTATTATCACAAGGGCATCAGCTCGTATATGAGGACTCCCAGCCTAGTTATGCGTAATTGACCACCGGGCCCAACAGGGAGACAAGCATGCATTTTTATCATCGGACCCAGGATCTTTTTCACAATAAATACATCAGTCTCCAATTGCATTTGCCCTCTTCGGTAATTTAACACCCGTGTGAAACCAAGACGGTGGTACATGGCATGCTTTTTTGACTGTTCAACAGATTCGCTGGTGTTGGGACAAACATTGGATGGAGTGTAGCATAGATATTTCAATGATCTTCTAACGTTGGATATTGGCCTCCCTTGAATTCGAGTCGCAGCAACTTTTAGCCAATGTCGTCAAACATCATAACAAGCTTCGGGTGTAGAGCCTCTGCAAACACCTACGTTAACGATAAGAACTCTCTTCATACGAGATAAAGGTAGAGTCTGTTCAATAGGTCTATCGGTCTACAACATGTAAGACTTGCAGAGGAACGCTGCCAAACAATGCAATGGACGGTTGGATTGAGGTGCAAAAATAAGACAGTGAAAAGGAAGCTCCTCAAACGAGGTACGTCAGGAATTGAGCCCAACGGGGGGCTCGAACCCCCAACCTTGAGATTAAGAGTCTCACGCTCTACCGATTGAGCTAGCCGGGCAGGCAGGTTGCTTTGTGTTGGCTGTCGAGCTCGAATGGTGGATACAGATAGTCTGCGACATTTCATGATCGAAGGACAGCGAATCGGAATTCTCAAATCAATCCAAACTATAGATGGCTTATGATTTAAGGAGGCATAAGGCTTGCTACCACAGTTACCGATTGTTAATTGCGCAAAGCTTCCTTTCTCACATGTTTTGCTCGACTCCCTACGCGTCACATCGCAAGACACCCGCATGCCAGGCTACTTTGGGCTACACGGGTGTATGAAAATAAAAAGTCTGTCCCCGTAAATTTCGCAAGCGTCTATGAAAAAGGCCCAAGAACGAGAGCTGCATTCGCTCATAGAGATGCGTCAAAACAAAATCTACTCGTCGACATTGGGGTCAAACTCGGGAACAGCATCACCAGCTGCCTCGCCAAGCTTGCCTGCAAACTCATCATCCAACTTTGGTCCAACTCCGCCGCTGAAAGCTCCAAGCATAGTTTGGCGCAACCCTTCGTTAGGCCAGCTGAGCCATCCGACGAGCGGGCTCTTGTAGAACGAGCCTGAGAAGTTCTCGACGCCGCCAATGTCGGCGTCGTTGGCAAAGCGGAAGCAGTGAGTGCCGGCACTGTCCTTGTGGTAGACCATCTGCGGGCTCGTACCGTCGGCAGGGAACTCATTCGATGCACCGCCGTAGCCGCCGTGGCAAGATGGCGCAACACGTACAATAGTGTCTCCGCGTGCGAAGACGACTACGTTTTCCCAGTCGTGACGGTGACCGCCCGCAAACGACCGCTGACCGACTGGTCCTTTTCAAAGTAATACTCGTACCTACTATTGTCAGTTGTGTTTCAAGAAGGGGCACGTTCGTAGAAAAAGGTGTAGCCTTACATGATAGCGCAGACGCCGTTGTTGCAGCGGCGCCGGGAGTAAACATTGCTGTTCTCGAGCTGAGGAGGGTCGCGGCAGTCACCTTGAGGAGTGCCGGTGGCGCCCTTGCCAGGGTTGGTGTTACCGTCAGGGTCAATGGCCGCCGTGTTGTAGCAGCCGTCTGTATCAAAGTCAAGAATTGGCTGGAACTTGTTCTCGATCTCGTCGGCGTTTCCTGGGAGGGCGGTGATAATGTCACGCCTCAGAATGGGCGCAGGAGAAGCATTGACGGCTGACAGGGCGCCAAGTAGGGCGGCTGTTGAGAAGAAAGTGTGCTGCATATTGTATATTGTAGGTGGGTTATGATAGGGATGTTGGTGTTGTTCAAGTCTGGAAACAGGAGTGAAGAGGATGTCTGTGTTGGATCTTAATTGGAAACTTGTAACAGCGGCGGCATGCTACTTATAGCTTTTTGAACCGATGATGGGAGGTCTGTCCGCATGTCAATTCCAGCTATTGGTGCCTGACATCGTGTCTGTCTACGTACTCTCTACCCATGACGATAGTCAGACAACCTTTGGATGAGCGTTGGTTCTGGTACCCTGCTTGTGTGTACAGCTAGCCTAATTGTCTCCTCCCCGCACCTATTACTCTATCCCTTCGTCTGCCACTACCTCCAATGTGTTTCCGTAACCTCACGATCAGAACGAACCTCATACTATCATGAGATTCCCCCCATACATGCCTTGACAGGCGCACATGGGTGAAAGTGCCTTCATCGAGATGCTTACGAGGATGATGTCAAGATGATCCACATTCAGGCCGGCGTCGAAAATGACCCACGATGAAGGCTGAGGCCGTAAAAATCAAGGCACACAACCCGTTTTCTCCTTGTCTCAGTGATTGTCGCACACGAGACCTCCACCTTCTGCCGCGTGGGGGCGTTTGGAGGAATGAGCGCGGGACGCGCCGATCCCCCTTAACTGAGAAGCCCGAATTAGGCACCCGAGGTAACGTGAGTGGCCATGAATGGACGCTTGGCCATCTCAGTGTCCGGGTGAGCTGCCGATCAACACTGGAAAGGGGTCAGGTCTTGGACCGAAGGATCATGGTTTGGACGGTGCCGATCGTGTAGGAATTGGTTTCTACGCGAAGGAATTAAACCCACGTCATTCGAACTCGGCTTTTGATAAACTGACGTTGCCAAGGCTCATCTCTAGAAAGCATTCGAAGCTGAATTGTCGAGTCTGATCAGCATCATGCCCTACAACCAAACCAACAAGGCGACCATGTGGCAAGGGCACATAGCCCACGCTAGGTTAACAGGTAGAGCTTCCTGGAGTAGGACCTCTCAGGTTACCGAACCGTGAAAAAGCTTGCTGTAAAACAAAACCTAATAAAACAAGATATGGTCGGCGAACTGCCAAGACTACCGCCCGCACCTCCCACCCCTAGCCTGGAGTATTTCACGATGGCGTTGTAGAAGTGAAACCGAAGGATCGAAAGGCAAGCTAGTGACGCGGAGACTTCGGGTGGCATCTATGAAATACTACGGTAGATCGCGTCAAAATGCCTCTAGCAGCTTGGTTGATGTCTAACAAGCCTGGAGATACGGTGCATGCTACCTCAAGCTCTTGCTTTCAAAGGCTCATTGATCCTATATCGTGGTAAGACCTGCATAGACGAACACTGATTACACCAAAAATAGGCATCAGGCCGCTCGGTCCAACACACATGCAGATCTTCGTGGCGGACGATCGGTTTAGTCAAGTGACACTGCGATATCGATGCATTTTCGATCCCTGGGGGCGTGAGGTGAGGGCGGAGACGTGATGCGGCTCGAATTATGCTCAGCAGGCACTCATTGATACTCGAAGAGGACTCGAAGAGGACGGTCAGACGTCATTTCACCTTGAAAGAGCCGATTTCGGGGCCATTCATTGAGATGCAAAGTTCTCTCTTGGAGGATATTCAGTTGTGAACCTGCATGCAGTCCTTCCGTCCTTGCGATGAGGATTTTGCTTTGGATCCTGTGAATCCTTCAATTAGCTTACCTACCTAGCCTTCCCGGCACTTGGACAGCCGGCGGGTATCCGGACCCATAGCGCTCCGTCAAAGTCTGCCGATCATGACGAAGACCCATGCTCCTTTTGATTGTCGTGTGCTCAAGGTCCCTATGCATTCCTTACCTCGGACCCGAACTGGAGGTGTATGCCCACTCACCTGTTCAGCAAGATGTGACACCACGGAGTCGAGGCGATTGGTCAGAGATGCTCAAAAGTCTTCCTCGTGATGTACTCTTGGCTCCTAAATTGACTAAATACTCAGGAATTCGGTCAGTAATATTGGCAGCTGGCAATCACGGTATTCCAGTACTTCAGTAGTAGTATTCAATCAATTACTAGCGCTGCTGAGGCTGCGGATACGTGCGGGAGAGATAGATGCCAGTGCATCGAGTGCATCAAAAAGCGAATAGAGTGGAGGGTCAAACGAGGAAAAAGGGATCGGAAAGCAGGCCTTAAGAATGAATTCCAATCGTTGGAGTCAACTATTCTCGAATGTGAGGCAAAGTGACAGACACACTTCCACAAGAGCCCCGGCTACCATTCGCGGGGAAGGCTTTCTGCTAACTGCAGCACTTGACCATCCAAAGTGAAAATCGCTTAAGCCTATTTCACGAACATCATTGATCAACCAGGCTACATGGGTGGCTATCAATCGTATTTATCATTATTGCCATCTCTAAAATCTATATCATGCCAAGCAAATCTATGCACAACCGAGCGTCACCCTCAATGAACGCTTCGCAGGGGTCCCTCTACGTGCAGTGAACAAAGCCATCGTCGTGAGTGTGGCACGAAGCATCGGCGGTGGTGGTACCGCTGGCATCGCTGGCGGCAGTAGTAGTCGGAGCAGCGGTGCTGGTGGCGGCGGCGGTGTCAATGATGGGCTTCTCGCCGGGGCAGCCGACGCCGGGGACGGCAATGTCATAGGCATAGGCCTCAATGGCGAAGTACTGAAGGGTGTCGCTGTCAATGATGGAGAGTTCAGGCTCAGTGGCGGCAAGCTTGAGGGCCTCGGCGTAGTCCTCAGCGTAGTGGTCAATGATGCCGTCGCTGATGCCGGGCAGGTGGAAGGCGCGGTGCAGAAGGTCGGTGGCCCAGTAGGTGTTGAGCTTGGACTCGGCCACGGTATAACCTCCACCGCAGAGAGCGGCAAGAGGGCGGCGGATCTCGTAGGAGAGGTCGCAGATGACCGTCTCCTGGGTAGCATTCGAGCCGCGCCAGTGGCCGGCCCAGCCATCCTGGGTAGCGCAGTTACGATCAGGGTCGTCGCAGCGGAAGAGCATCTCGGACTTGTCAGTCGAGACGACCTTGGAGTACCAGCCGATGGGGCCGGCGACGGACTGGTTGCCGAAGAACTTCGTCGCCAGCTCAGACTTGGGGTTGTGGAGAAGATGATCGCGGGCGTGAGCCGCAATGGTCATGGTCTCGGCGAGAGCAGCCTCAAGCTGATTACGCAGGGTGATGTTGCAAGACTGGTGGATGGGGAAGCTGGCCTTCCAGCCTTCAGCCCAGTTGTAGGTGGAGCTGGTAGGGCCGGCAGGGGCAGTGTCCACTGTGACGGTGACACTGGTCTCAGCAGCGCGTGCCACGGGAGAGGCAGCGGCGAGAGGGAGGAGCAGCAGGGCTGCGGTCTGGAGAGAAAGCATCTTGGCGAGAAGTCTGGTGACGGCGGGTCCCGAAGATTGGAGATCGTGGAAGAGTTTGGGCTCAGGTTGACAAGATCTGAGGTTGACCACGAGAAGATGAGCTGTGCTGAGGAACTTGACTGAGCTTGAGCTTCAACACTACCACTCACCACAGAAGCCTCAGAGCTCAAGTCTTTATAGTCCTTGTCAGCTTGATATCTCGGTCTTTTCCGTCGCCTGTTCAACAAGGGCCAGTCAAAGTCTGCACGCCAACGAGCAACACCCCACGCTTTGTGACGACATGACAAGAGGCCACCCCGGCAGAGTCTCCGGATTACGGCGTGGCGGCCATGAGGCGACAGTCGATTCTTTCCTAGACTGGCACTTGAGCGGTGAAAAACGGTCCAGCCAGCAAAGGTCGTCCAATGCTGCGCTGCTACCGAGGCGATGCCAAGGCAAGCGTCACCTTGATGACCTGTTAAGCTTGAATTAAGCACCGCTTCTAGTGGCTTACACCCCACCCCGTTCAGGGATCTGGCTATACGGACTAACGGCTTCGGGTATGATGCGGTGGTTGGGGTCGTGGTTGAACGGGGTGGCGCCGGCCATCCGGGTTCTCAGGACCATCGGACTCGGGGATAAGTGGGGTTTTTCGGTGGGCCCGATGCCGGCCATCAAGGTCCTCGCCGGAAATCCCTCGCTCGACTCCAGCCGACAGACCCTTCACCAGGGTCACGATGGTTCAGGTAGGAACATGTCGTGACTTTTTCGAGTCCGCAAGCGTGGTTGCAGCTGTGAAACTCTCTGCTGAGGTGGATCGAGGGAAGCCCTTCTCGGCTGTCGACTTCAGCCGGCACAACAAAGTACCCGATTTTGCTCAAAAAAAAACGCTTGTTTCTTCGCTGTAATACTGCTTCGTTCCTATTCCCTCGTATTAATATCGTCAAGAGATCTTCAGGACATCTAGTCATTCTCGCTCATCCAAAAGTCTCAATCGCGACACTGCTCGAGTGATGACTTCTAATCGAGACGCCGGAGCCTGTATTGTACTCTTTTATTAGCTACATTCAGTTCTGCGAACAGTGCTCATGTGAAGACGGGGGCGGGGGATTAGCGACACCTTTTCATAACGTTAACCAACGGTCGAAGCCAGCATTCTACTTCGCCACGGACAGGAGTAAATCGAGGCTTCACGAGACCAGGAAGACTTAACAGTCGCAATGGAAGATGAAAGAGATGACTGGGAGGCCAGTGAAAGTGAGGGGCAGTGCCTGTTCAAATAGTAGAAACCAATACAAGCCACATCATCACTGCATGGCCTGACATGCCTCCTGCATGAGTCTATCTTTGGGAAGACGGAACGGGATGTACTCTCCCTTTCAAGTGCATGATTGTTTCAAATCACAGGACTCTTACATTGACAACCAGAGCCACCCCAGGGGTAAGCGGATCATCGGTCTCAGGGGTAATGCGCCACGAGGCTATAAATCGCTGAGAGGCCTTCTTGAGATTGGTCCATCCTTCACCCGACGTTGATAATGCGACGGCATGGTTATGCCACGTTTGTGCGCACTTGGGTGCTGGGCGGTGATCGTCTTGGAAGGCCGGCCAATGTCGCGCTTATCAGGTTTCGAAAATCCTTCCACTAACGTGCAGAATAGCTTGTCCTGGTTGCGAAGACATGCCGGATCCAGCGTCCTTTTGGTCTGAAGGCTATTTGAGTATTCGAAGAAGATTCGAGGAGGAGTGGAGTATTGATCCGAGATCGATATACTGCTCACATTGTAGCTATTGTTTTCTTACCCAGTCCTTTAGGCAGATAATTCCACTTTATGGTTCTCACACCGTGCTCGGCAGTGATTGTACCATGATCTTGATTGCGCGGAGAACCATGAGCTGTATCACATCTTTTATATATGCCTACTGATTTTCATCACAATGAATAATGTCTGCCAGTGTCAGTAAGTGTCATTGGTGTTTAGTAATCTTCTTGATGGTAGTGGATTGCGGTACCCCGCACCACGAAGGTTCAGTAATGTAAATCTTGCGATCTGTATATATTTATAAGCTGTCTGCGTTCTCCTCACAATCACTGAGTCTGCAACTCACTGCTCCCTCGATTATGTTGTCGTGGGCCTACGTGATCACCGACATAGACCACCCCCATATCGGTTCAAGAGGTGATTCGAATGACTTTTGATTGCTTACGCCTTTCTGGTTGAAGAAACGCATATAGGCTTCGTCTAGAAGGTCAATGCTCGCAACCCCAATGCTCGATGGATGTCACGAGCCCTAATACACATTGGACCGCTTCAGAAACCCTGAGTTGCTACATTTATGGCCTCTGAACGTACTATAGCTCCGAGGGTCGCCTCCGTGGCCAAGCAGGAACCCTCAGATAGGGAGTAGGCATCTGTTGAAAGCCCTTCACATCTGTGCTTCTAGTCAATTTGAGCATCCAGTTCTTTCAATGTCTGCCATCATACCAAGCTAAGTTCAAGAGAGTAAGATAACCTGTATTTATGCAGCGAGCAACAGGAGCGTGTTCATTTGAGGTCCTCACGGCATGCTATATACACAGTGCTTGCAGAAGGTCCTACTCCCCCGCTTCTTATCATTTCGGTCTCAAGTAACCATCGCGCCATGTAAGAGCACTCTCGCTCGTGAGGGGCTGGAACTGCTCTATCAGAAGGAGCGACATCAGACCAATGGACCGGTTCGTCGAAGTGAAAATCAGTTTCGTAAAACGGAAGCTGATTGACGGGATATCAGTCGGATCAGACGACTTGAGGCGGACGTAGCTAAGGCGAAAATTTTGGGCTGCATGTGGGCAATTGCGCACACATACTACCTGGGGCCGCAGCAGTTGGGCATGCCAAAGCGGGGACCCAGAGGGCAAAAGCGCCGTATTAGGCATGGATATTGCGGTCTCCTATTTCGGTGGTCGTTCATAGAAGGCCATTCTGGAATACATTGCGGTTGGTATCATCGTTGACAAGTCCAAGAACGCCGGCTTCATAGTTCTCAGTCATGTATTCACCGACTCCAGGGAGATCCTCGATGACCTTTTTGCCGAACTTTCTAATCTCTACAACGGGGCCAATATAAGAGTGCTTGAAGATCTGTGGACTGTTTAAGTACCGCCAGAAGCAGTGACCCCCCGCCTGGCCCTGAAGCGTCGAAGAGTGCCTTTGTTGTCTTTGATCCAGAGAGGATCAGCCTTGTAGACGGCCTCGCCCTTAAGAACCTCGAAAGCACTTGCGACGAGAGTCTTTCCTTAGTGTTAAAGAGAAAATTCGTAACAAGGCTCTGAGGGGGAGTTTTGGGGGGGGGGGGTCATTAAGGATGTCACGAATCTAGCTGTTCGGGCCCGGACGGCGCTCCGCACATTCCACTTGCAGACTCATGGGTCTACTAGTCGCAGTCAGGCTCAGTTCCATTGCCTTCCCAGTAACAGGCTCGGGATTGATATTTGCATCTTGACCAGTAGCATTGACGAGGGCATGCATGAGGCGCAACATGTTGGGCTTGTTGGTCCACGAGTCGTCGCGGGAGCTAATCTCGAGCAAGCCATATAGCTTCGTGCAGAAACCTACCGGCCGGCCGCCGGATGCAGCCCCGCTCATGCTTGTCGGTCGTCATCTGCTACCTTGATATATAGCCCTATCATCGAAGCACGGCGGTGCTTTTTCAGCGCCAGTACGATAGACGTGAACTTTGTACCCATCCACACCGGCTTCGCGTACACCTCTGGCACCACTAGCACCCAGTACGCGCAAGTCCAGGCTACCTCAGCATACTCTACCACTACCAGCTTCGGTAAGAGCACGTATCCAACCATACATCTATCCCATATCTTCCCAGGCATGCAGAAACACGACCTCGACGGTTCAGCGGTCGCCGAAGAACGTTCCGGCCACGTCGTGTAACTTATGTTGGACGAATATATTGCTGCCAATGTGACGTGCGTCATTGAATACGGCAACATCGTCCCAACAATGCGTTGCGCTTCTTGGTGCATCACCCCTCAATCGCCGACGAGTTTAATGCAGACGGACGCGCGTGGATGTTGGCACGTACACATCTCGCGCACTGCTGCCGCCGCCTGCATCGCTCTCGAGATGTAACGTGAGCCCTGGGACTGAAGCCTTGTACCAGCTTCAAGGCCGACTTGGGCCAGCAAAGACTGTGTCATAAAGGAACATGGCATGTGCTCCTAACAACAGAACTACTTATTATGGAGCATAATTGTGCTGCAATTCATTATCTCTTATGGCCGAGAAGGCCAGTGTGTTGCTAAACCTGGCTACGCCATGTAACGCAAGCTCGGCATTCGCGTGCTCCTGACACCTGGGTCTCCGCCGACGAATTCGAAGCTCCAAACAATCCTCGTCGCACATCGCACGTGGACCCCAAGTATAATTCAGATTAAAACGGCTCTTTGACTAAGGGGTGTTTCAACTCCGTACATCCGTACTCCGCTTTGGAGCGCAAGTGAACACGATACGCTGATGCCTACCCGAGTAAGCCGGCATCCCTGCGTCACCCAAGAGTCGCTGATTACAGCGGCAGTGGTCATGCCGTTGTGCAGTACAATTGCCTCTTGCTGACCTGTTCTATTCAATACGCCTTGCATTTTATGGCGATCAAGCATCCAGGGCAATGCGGGAAGACGTTCATCGACCTTTCTTGGCATTTGAAACTTCAGATGACTCGAATCCTCATGATCATTTAATGGGCCCGTGCCCTCACTGATATTCATTCATCTGGACTGCTTCCCGTTGACAATATGCTCGTCGTCTTGTCTGGGCCCTCTTCATTCCATCTCATTGATCTCACAAGACCCTGGTGGTCACTTGCTTCGTTGTGGCCCCTTTTTAACTTTCATCTTCGTCCGGTTACGTGATTCATTCACTTGTCAATTATTCACTTCACAATGTTGTCCTCAATTGCTCTCGCTTCAGCCATCCTGGCCACCACCGTCTCGGGCCACGGCAACCTCGTCACACCTCCTCCTCGTGTTCCTGGCCCAGCCATGGTGGCAGCCTGCGGCCAGCAGAACGTTGACTCTGTGCTGGCGGACTCCGGCATCCCACTAGAGAACTTCCGCAATGTCCCCGCAACCTGTAGGTTCTTAATTAATTGTTCTAGTGGCTCAGGAAGAAGAATAACACCGCAGGCCAACTCGATTTGTGTCGCGGCGCCACATTCGCAGACAATACGGACCGTGTTCAGACGTTCGCCGCCGGTCAGGTCGTACCGATCACGGCCGAGATTCCTATCCCCCACGAGGGACCCTGCAATGTTTCCCTTGTCGACATAGCATCCAACACCGTTATTGGTCTACCTCTCATCTTGTTCCAGAGCTACGCAGACGAGAATCTCGCTCAGCTCCCTCCAAACAACACGGCGTTCGAAGTCACTATTCCTCAGCTGCAGCCTGGGCAGTGCACACAAGCAGGCGAGTGCACGATGCAGTGGTTCTGGTTCGGTACCAACGCTCAGCAGACGTATGAGAGCTGCGTCGACTTTGTGTTGGCTTGAGTTTCGTAGGAGGAAAAGGCTATTGCAATTGTATTGTATAACTCAAAGATATTCATACCCTGGTCATGTGCTAGTGCGGAAAAGATGCTGCTAGATTGTACACATGGAAGATTAGCTAACGAACGAGCGAACAACATCGGACCCATCTGTCACTTGCTAGACTCTTGCCGCCGGATTTTCACCGCAATTGCACTCTAACATTCTTTACATGAAAAAAAAAATATGTTATGCTATCCAATTGTTGCTTTGTCACGAATGTACCAAATCCTGAATTGTCATGAACAGCGCACTCTTTACTACTGTCCAATATCAACCCTCTCTCATTGTCCAAAACAGCTGGTGTGGCCGTTTACAGCCCAATCGAAGCAATCAGTCGAGACAGGATACCGCCGAGCTCGGCAATAACGGTAGAAAGGCCAGTAATGCCAACGGCAAGGCTAGCCCTCGCAGCCTTGGCAGCCTCACCGAAGGTCGTCAGAGGTGTGACGAAGGGCTGGATGGCCGCCTTAACAGCATCGACCTCGCTCTGAATAGCGCTCTTGAGGGCAGGAGTAAGGTCCGTGGCGGTCAGACGCACAGTGGCGCCGATATCGCGGAGGATACGCTGCGCAGCAGCAATGGCATCACGAACTTCGTTGATTTGAGCCTGAGTGAGATCCTTGAGATCCCCGCCGATGGCACCACCGGCGCCTGTGGTCCCCTTAACAATGTCATCGGTGGCCTTCTTCAGTGCGTCGGCGATGCCCTGGATGTTGGTCTTTAGAACAACCTCAACCTGGGCTTCCACATTGTTCTTAACCTCGGCGACGGCATCCTCTGTGATGGCAAGGTCAGTCATCTCTCAAGCTTCAAGAACAATTTTTTACCTACGGATAGCCTGGATGTTGCCCTTTGTGGCGCTATCGAGCGTCGCGACAGCATTCTTCACGGTACCAATCGCCGTGTTCTGGCGGGCCTGCAGAGCAGGTGCAGCCGAAGCGAAAGAGACGAGAGAGAGGATGCTAAGGAACTTCATTTTGAGTAAAGATTTTGGATGGAGCCTGGGAATAGATTGAGATGGTGTTATTGATCTTCGGTGTACGGCTGTGGGAGAGAGATGTGTGAGTGCTGATTCTGCTTAAAGGGGTTTCTGGGGGGGTCGAGGACGCAATATATATACACGAGATGAAGGCCATGTCGCCTCGTCCTTGTCTACATGCTACCTCCAAATCCAACATCTCAAGTCCATTCCACTATGCACAAGCACGCACATTCCGTTTTCGTGCCACGGGACTGTCATGATCCGGCTCTGCTGAACGTCAAGAGGACCGGTCATCATCAAGACCTGAGAATGATCCAGACCTGATCTCAATATGACACGCGAATCATCAGCCACGCTTCGCGGGTGGCTTCCTGTAGAGCAGCCCAAAGGCGCCAAGCTTTGAAATTCAGGAAGAAAAGCCCTGGGCCTAGATTCGGAACGACGAGGAGGCCGCGCGACGGACACGCACTACGTGCTTCCCAAGGGGTGTGTCAGTTTTGAGTTGCGGGGCCGTTGTCTGGTGTTCCAGTTGACGCTCAGCTTGACCAGGCATCTTGAGAGGCATGTTCTCGGTATCTTCCGCATCAGACATATTGCATCAGGCCTTGTTTGTTTCCCAAGGGTTGACCCTCAGTCTGCCGGCGGTGAACTTGTTCGTGACATGTTGAGCACAATGTCTCTGACCAAGCATCATTCCACCAGTCAAAGCCACGCTGTCACGAGGACTTGGGCAAAGCACGATCTTCACGAACGCCTGTCAGATGTGTCTAGGCCCGTGGCAAGGCTGATGAAAGTGGCTTGTGGTTGTTGAGACACTAGAGCATCCCCGCCCGCGACCCGCGACTAGAGTCATGGATGAAAACGGGAGGTCTAGGCTCGATCGTGCATTCATGTCTCATCTGCCTCGCTCGTTCCGTGCCACCTGCGGCCTGCCGTTGAGACTCGTGGAGATGGAAATGAGGAACTGAGGAGCCCAGCGCAACTGGCTGACCGCCACCGTATCGATGCTTGGGCCTCCTCTCGATCTAGCTCGCGAGGTTGACATCGCGGGCAAGCCCGATCCGCGCTACCTCCGCAAGCGGCCGCTGTCAAAGCCATTCACGACTGAAGCCATGCCCGCGCTCATTCCGCCACCTGATTGCAGTGTGTTCGTCGAGGTTTGACAGAGGGGATGCATGGGAGGGACATGTCTCAGCCAGAGCGCGCCGAGAACCTCTTGTTGCGAAGATCGAGAACTTGCTAAGGAGCTCCGTCACCTTGGCAATCCTCGGCCCTCGTCGAGAACACACGGCAACCCGGGCCCAGGCGAGGTTTGAGAGCACGTAAGATATCTTCATGGGTGGAGATCTCGGTCCTGCGGCTAGAGAATTGTAGCCAAGCACTCTACGTCTTAGGCATCCATCAATGGTCGCCACCCACAGCGCCCCGTCACAAGGTCCGGATGGTTCGTTCTCCCTCGAATGCGAGCAATGCTATTGTCATCAGCGTTCCAGGCCCCTATCAGTCATTCTCATGTTCGCATGACGGTAGGTCGACTTGAACTTTGGTGATCGTGAGACCCTGGCAGCCAGGTGAGGAGTGCTTCGGCACGAAGCCATTGGCCATGCCCATGCTCTACGGTGTTCTTCGATATGGAAGATCTGACGCTGGCAAATGAACGTTCCTCCTCTCAAATGTGCAGTCTCTCGATTGCCACGATGAGCACGGAGATCCAGTCCAATGACAGAGGAGGCGCTGAATGTCCGAGCCTGTCGCAGACATTCCTTCGCAAGACAACCCCATGTTGATCAAATGCCGTCTTGAAGATTCTCTCTTCTCGCTCCGCTTTGGAGATCGACAATCACTCGAGCAGCACTTGGCTCAATCCTCAGATGACGCCTCACACTTGTCTGACGTGGGTGAAGAAGTGTCTACATAGTGGCGTGCAACAAGCTTCAACGGCAGACGCCATGGCAACCTCGTAAAGTGTCGTGATAGGTCTTCAAATCATTTTCTAATGGTTCACGGCATGTTCGCTCCGGCTCGAATGCTCCGTTGGCGAAACTTGCGCTTACCGATCAGCCAGGTCATTGCCAAGCATCGACAAAGACGTCTTCAATCAGTCGTAGTATTTCGTAAAGTAATGGGTGCGTGACATCGTTTTCGTGCCTCCATTCTTCCCTCTGCCGAGACGCCAGTGCTGTCATGAGGATTCTGGCGTCGCCACCACTTGTTCCACCTTCTTCACACGTTTCCCCTCAAGACCTCCCATAACGCCAGCAGCAATCGAGACGCCAAAGGCCGAGCAGAGGAACAGAGGCACAGCCCACTGCGGCCGCGTATGTCTGTTGTAACCCCACATGAACCCTGATAGCACAGCCTGGAAGACGGTGTTCATGACGTTCAATCCAATGATGGTTGCCAGCTTCCACAGCGCCGTCGGCGACGCGCGCAGCCCGGAGTAGGGCGCATCCGGGATAGACCGGGCGGGATGGGGTACCACCGCCAGTGCACCGCCCTTGGAGAGCCAATCGTCGACTTCGTCGGGCCCGAGATCGCCGGGGAGCTCCTGCGAGCCGGGCAGGCGAAACCACGAGCGGTAGGAGGCGGCGAGGCGGCGCAGGGCCAAGGGGTCGTGGGCGAAGTGATGTTGGATGAGGCGCCAGGCGTCGCGGGCGCGCTGGGGCGCCAGGCCAAAGGCCATGACGCAGAAGAGGGCGTTCAGAATCTGGGAGTCGATCTCTATCCATATGCGGCGCGGCGAGTTGATGTCGTTGCAAGTCGGGTGGCACATGGCGGGTGCGGCGTTGCAGAGCAGCAAGAAGATCATGCCGCCCCACGCCACAACGTTGAGACAGTAGATTATGATGATGACTTTGACCAGCGTCATGTCGCGCAGCCAGGCGGTCGCCGTCTGCATCATGGTCGGTGGTGGTCGTCGCGAGCCAGATGGTCTGCCGGGCTCAGTTACGGCTGGCTGCAGGGCCTCGTAGGCTGTGTTCTCTTGCCATGGTAGCAGCTCGCTTGGTTTCTGATTCGTCGTCATAGCAGCTGTCTTGTTGGCATTCTGATCGGTCTTCTTTCTACTCGGATTGGGGGGCGCTGGGTACAGCTCTCGTCGTCGGTATTGTGGTTGGTGTTGCAATTGCGTAGGTACACGCGGCTTGGGCCTCTGTTGGCTGGGCAAGTGGCGATCAACTCAAAGTCATACCTTTATGCAGATTGCGGGCGTCACCCGTCTTAAACGATATTTCAGGAGTCGAATCAGCAGGGTTCATGTGATGACCAGCTTTCAAACGCCCCTCGGGCTTGGCCGTCTACTCCAACGCGTACACACTCGCATTCCTCGTACCCCTCGGTCCCCAGCCAGATTAACTCACAGGGATAGATGCGCGGGGTGGCCATAGCGTCGAATTACGACTCGCTAGAACCGAGAGTGAGCGACGGGGCGCCCGAGGAAGCGAGAGTGCGGGTAGCGTACGAGTGAGAGTGCGCGGCACTTGAAGGTCTAGCCAGGGCCAGGGCCGCCGGCCAGCGGTGCAAGTAACCTAGCCCTCTATGTTGCTGGACGCTTTCGAGGCTGCTGGGAGCTGACCATCTGTTCTCTTGGTGGTATCTTGACAACGTCAATGCTTTGCGATAGATCCCACAGCGGAAAACTATTTACGTTCTACATTACCTTCATTCTGTCAAGCAGTCGTTCTGGATACCAGCCCCTCGGGATACTAACGTATTTATATGTCTTGTTCTACATGGGCCTCCGTCTATCGATTGGTTCTCGTGTTGGTCTGTAGTCGTTTTGGTGTGTAGTTGCGCGCTCTACCAAAATCAATTCGGCCCTTAAACGCATGGCCTATTGAAATTTTAATTTCTTCCACACGGAGTACGAGCTCATATAAAAGACACTGATGTCTGAGGGCGGGTTTAAGTCAAGAACATGTATATCGTATGAGTGTTCGCGCGGCATTCTCGGGGCGTCAGCATAGAATGAATGGGACGGACGGCCGTGCTGGTAGGTGAATGACCTACCCCCCTGATTGTGAGTCTGCCTCAGCCCAGCGTCAACTGCCCAGCACCCAGAAGGCCCGCCTGGGAGCAAATCACGAGATCGTTGATCATTCAGTCTCGTGGAGAGATGCAAATCATGAGCATTCAGACTGCCCTAAGGTGTAGGCATCTCGCAATGCCTGCCTCTTGAGGCTAATACATCGGGTGGAAACACATTCTACTGTCTTTGCCGGTCACGCTGATCACCAACGACGAAGACTGACCAGCATCAGCCGAAAATTATAATCCAGGGTGGTGTCAAACCCTCAATCTGGCGCTTACAGGCCCAACGGCCAAACGGCCACGTTGATGGCGCAGGGTGTCATTCGGCTTAGAGTTTTACCTACTATCCGCGAGCCTGAAATCGCGGCGTCTAACCCCTGAGTTGCGCCGGAGCAGGACCACTGAAAATGAAAGGCGAAAAGGCGTGCACCAGCTCAATGTCCGCCTGAAGCAATCCGATGCACGTTGTTTGTGTTGAGGGAGACGACCGAGCCGCGTCGTCGTCGGTCTCGCCAGCATGGAAACAAGCGCACAAACCTTAACTGCTCGGCTTCTTTGACGGCTATTAATTGTTGAAAATCCCATGATTCATCCTCCTGCACATTTGCTGGTGTGCCCCTCTGCCAGGATCGCCAAGATCGTCTGCTTACCGCTCCTCGTTCTCTCGCGATCACTTCACCTTTCGCGCTGCATCCTTGGCAGGACAAGATGCTTGCGGCGTCAGGGCTGCTTAAGCCGATACTTCCGGTCGCGATACTTCTGGCATGCTTTTGGTGGGGTTTCCAGTTATTTCAATGGAGTACTGTAAGCCTTTGCTCAACGAATCCATATCTATTACAGTCATGTGTGAGCGACGGTCGATGGTCTGGGTACTGAAACTGATCCTCGCCCACAGGTGACGGCACCTCCATCTAGCACACGACATCCCGCGAATGATCATACCGCTGCAGCACGCCCAGATCGGCCACTGATCCTGTACGCCTATGCAGAATCCACTACGGCGCGTGAGAACCTTGGTTTCTTCCTCCGCAAAGGTCTTCACGATGCGGCCGACTTTGTATTCATCTTCAATGGCGAGACGAATGCCTCCCAACTCGTGCCCGATGCATCCAACATTGAGATCGTCGAGCGCTCCAACACGTGTTTTGACCTCGGTGCCTACGGGGAGGTCCTACGGAAAGACGACCTCTGGACAAAATACAAGCGCTTCATTCTGCTGAATGCTAGCATACGGGGGCCATTTCTGCCGACGTGGAGCTCGAGCTGCTGGTCGGATCTGTTCCTCGACAGGCTGACTGCGAAGAAGAAGGTATGGAAACCCTCACGTCCGAATGCAGAAACCTGGCGTACTGATGGCCATGCAGCTCATTGGCATGACGTTGAATTGCCAACCGAGAATGCACATTCAGTCCATGATCATGGCCACCGACAAGATTGGCATGTATAACTTGCTCGACCCAATCCTCGCGGCCTCAGCTTCTGTTGCCGATCAATTCGGCACTGCAGATGATCCTATAGGGCTGAGCGGCTGCTATCCCGACTGGAACGCCGCTGTACATGCAGAGGTAGGCACCACAAGCCTCATCACCTCCGCAGGGTATGAAGTTGATGCCCTCATGACGGCGTTGCATTCGGAAAGGAGCGCAGAGGAATACTGCAAGGCCCATCCTGATTCGGGCGACTTGTTATGGGACAAGAAGTACTTCGGGGGTAACATACATCCCTACGAGACAGTCTTTGCCAAGACAAACAGGAACGTTGACAAGGAGTTTATGGCAGCCTTGACGGAGTTTCACCTGCGGTCGGAGATCACGAGCTACACAGCATGTAGTTCATGATTTTTGCCGATGAATTTTGACATACAACTTCCATGATCCATGAGAAAGCCAGTACACCAAGACGAGTTGATCTTCGTTGGCAGCTTGAGATTACTTATTTTACCGTGCAACGCTGCTTTCGTTGTTGTCACAAAGATGACCGAGGCACCTGATTGCCCCATTCGCTCAAGGGAGACAATGGGCCAGCCAAGGCTGGTGTAGTAGCCATTTTCGGCGACAAAGAAACGGAGGCAGGTTGCCACCAGCCTCGAAGACCTTGACTATCGGTATACAATAGCTTTGTGGTCGAGGTCTTTCGTGGTCAAACGTGAGAGAGTGATGCCCTTTATTCCGTATGTGAAAGGCCCGAGGACGGCAAAGCACATCAGAAGTGGAAAACAAACAGTGACTATTCACCTTTGAGGCCTATCATCACCCTTCTCCTTAAATGCCAACACTGACGATCACAATCACCATTTGATACCTAAAGGCACTTCCTTTTTTTCTCGTATCAATACAACGCTGCTTGCCTTTTTGCCAGCTCACTTCATCACCATTTCATCATAATTCTCCAGGGGCTCGATAGTAATGGAGACGACTCACCAATACACAGCAGCCAAAGACAGATGCGTCGACTTTCAGCTTTTTCCACAGCTTCCATCAGAAATTAGAAACATGGTATGGGAATGCGCATACTTTCACGAATCCCCAAGAGTGTTTGAGTGGCGTTCGCAGTACCATCTTGAAAGCGAGGAGCCCCTTTCCTTTTGCCTTTCAATTCGCTGCATCTCTCCCTCGGTGGCCACCCAGCCCAAAGTTCAACAAGCTTGCTTCAGCGCACGTCAGGTTGCTGGGAGGCACCTGCGAGAACTTAGAATACCAGCGGCCTGTGAATCAGTCATAGGCTCCGAGGAGAAGTCTCCAAACGACACCTCGTGCGCTGAGATTCCATGGAAATACGACCCACAGGGATCGATGACTCGCTTGTTCGACATATCGAGGGATCTTATCTTCTTGCGGGAGTCGACGTTGTGTGCAATGGGCAGACTGGCAGCCCCTCCAGTGTCGGGGCTGCAAAATATCCAGCGACAACCTCTTCATGACACCGTTAGACTCGAAGCAATAAGCATGAGCGAGGCACCTCTCGTCGCGGTCGAGATCCCGAAGTCATGGCACACGTATGGAGAAGACGATCTATGGGTTCCCATTCTGACCACTCTACGTGGAGCGTTCAAGGGTTTGAAGAGAATCTACTTTGTAGCATCCGAGACGTTTAATATCTCTTTCTGGAGAGACTTAGACTTGTCTTCGTGTCTATCATCCTGTCCCAGGCTCCTTTCTCAGGCGTATCTTCGATGCCCAGATACTACGCCAAGTCGATGCGGCGATCTAGCAGGTATCGACCATCAGAGTCTGGATGAGAGGCTCGGCAGGGCCAAACACTGCGTCTTCGGGGATGGAGAGGGTATTCAAATGTCTATCTTGATTCCTTTGGAGCGCGGAGATGGCTCGTTGGATTGGGTAGGGTGGAATTCTGGTGACGGCAACGTCGAACAACCAGAGGCCCCTCGAAGGGGATTCTCGGAACCAGAATCACGAACGAGGTTTGCGAGTGGCTCGAAACCCGAATATACATTGTAGATAGAAATATTGCAGTGATGAATATAGATAAAATATCAACAGAAATCTGATACCAACATGATCGTCAGAGTTCTGCCGATCCTTTGTGCGGGAGCTTATATTCCCGACTAGGTGGTGAAACATGGGTTCTTGATCTGCCCACAGCCAATCCAGAGACGTGCTGGCTCCGTGGAAGAGTGAATTGTGTCGGGGCTCAGCACAGGATCGGTGCGTAATACGCGCATATGTGAGGACTATGCAGTCAGCTTACCACAGGACGACACTGCAAAACGCTTGGCAGAGCTAGCTGCATTCAAGAATGAAGGTTCCCCGCGATCTTAAACTTTCTAGTGGTCTGGGACACTCCTGATCTCATTTACCTAGAGGTATAAAAGAAAAAAGCCACTGGCGTCATCTCGGTGGTTTCTCTGTTATTTGCGCTTCCTGTCGAATTTTGTACGATCTATACAACAGAGTTTCAGGCACTCAATCAACAGCTTCGCTATCTAACCACGAGATCTTTACTTCTTTGGAAGATGGGAGGAGTGGCTAAACAAGTACCAGATGGCCTGACGGAGGTGGACATCATCATTGCCGGAGGTACGCATTCTCTCATGTTCAAGATGACACTCGCTAACGAACTAGGTGGTACCGCCGGCTGCGTCGTCGCCTCAAGACTCAGCGATGCAGACCCAAGTCTGTCCATTCTCGTTGTCGAGTGTGGCCAGGATAAGCGCGATGACCCCACGGTCATCCACCCGATCTTTTCCTTTGGCCACATGGCCCCAGGCGGCAAGACGATGCTGAACTATCCGTCAATCAAGGAACCACGGACCGCCGACAGAGTCATCAACACAGCAACTGCCAGTCTCCTCGGTGGCGGGTCGGCAATCAACATGTCGACCTACCAGAGGCCGCAAAGGTTCGATTACGACTCCTGGAAGATGCCTGGTTGGTCCACGGATGAGCTGCTGCCATTCATGAAGAAGGCGAGATTACAAGTGTCCTTCCGCTTTTGGGACCAACATGGCTTACAAAAGGCAGATTGAGTCATATCACGGCCAGGGCTCCTCAGACACCCATGGGTATGACGGGCCTCTTGAAGTCACCAGCCCAGCATTCACCGTCACCAAGACGCAAAATGACTTCATCCAGGCAGCGAACCAGGTTGGGTACCCTGAAGTCAAGGATCTGCAGGACTTTGACTCCTGCAACGGTGTCCAGCGCAATTTGGCATATATCGGAAAGGACGGCAAACGCCAGGACGCAGCGCATAACTACTTGTATCCCCGGCTCGACGACGGAAAGCACCCTAACCTGCACGTTCTTGTAGAGCATCAGGTCTCACGGATCCTGTTCGAAGGCACGGCAGCATCTGGGGTCGAGATTCGTCCAAACCCACTCTTCCAACCTGACGGCAGTATGCAGACCATCAAGGCACGGAAGCTGGTGATCGCAGCTTCTGGTGCCATGGCGACGCCCTTGCTTCTCGAAAGATCCGGGCTCGGTGATCCGGAAATCCTAAGCAAGGTCGGAGTCGATGTTGTCGCTGACCTCCCTGGTGTGGGCACAAACTACCAAGACCATCAGCTGTCCATCTACGCTTACTACACCGGCTTGACGCCGGAAGAGACTGGCGACGCTCTGTTCGGGGGCCGAATCGATGTTGCTGAGGCCATTCAAGCAAAGGCGCCAATCCTCGGATGGCATCTCGCCGATTCAGTCTGCAAGGTCCGCCCGACGGACCAAGAAGTCGCAAGCCTGGGCTCCGAATTCCAGGAGGCGTGGGATAGGGACTTCAAGCCCAACAAGGAGAAGCCGATCGCTGTGTTCATCCCAGTAAACAGGTAAATCTACATACACTACAGCTATTGCATGTCATATTCTTAACACGCAGCAGTTACCCCGGTTTCCCTGAGGGGCTACCTGTTGGTCAATACTTTGGTGTCTCGACGTGGCCCACGTACCCCTATTCACGAGGTCAGGTGCACATTGCCAGCCCCAGCCTCGACGATGCTGTCGACTTCCGCCCTGGTTTTCTCACAGACGATCACGACATTGATCTGAAGAAGTCGATGTGGGCGTACAAGAAGCAGCGTGAGCTAATGAGACGCACGAAGTTGTACAGGGGCGAGGTTCAGAGCGCGCACCCCCCTTTCCCCGCCGGGTCAGCAGCTGCATGTGCGCAGATCGACGAGCCACTGCAAGATGCAGAGAACATAGTCTACTCGGCAGAGGATGATGCCGTCCTCGAGAAGCACATCCGCGAGAATATTGGAGGGTGCTGGCATCAGATGGGTACTTGTAAGATGTCGGCGCGTGAGAAACGTGGCGTCGTAGACGCATCGCTCAACGTGTATGGCGTTCAGAGGTTGAAGATCGCCGACCTGAGCATTGCGCCGGAGAATCTGGCGGCGAACTTGGCTAACACGGCTTTCGTGATTGGAGAGAAGGCAGCAAGTCTCATCATTGCGGAGCTCGGGCTATGAGGTGCATCTGAAGTCGATGCATAGATAGATTAGCAAATGAGAAAAGCGTGGGTCTATGTATCTATCTAAGGCCATCTGCATGGCGTGTGCAGGGGAGCCAGCATGCAATCAATACTGCCTGTTGTGCGCCTGGCTCGAGCCCTCACGCATTGGCCAGGGCTGATGTGCTTCGGGCTTTGTGCTAAGTCGCTGGCTCCGTTGGTGGGTTGTCTCTGAAAAAATGGAAGACGTTTTTCCCTTTCGAAACAAAACCCTCGAGCGAGACCCGGTGGTAGCAAGCGGCGTGACGATCCCTTCATAAGAACGTCACGCAACCAGCTCAACATAACCTTCGAATACAGCGTCTTTGGTCGAAGAATGATACGATTGCTGCTGTTAAAATCCGTCCAAAACTCCATCCCAGGTATCTCGTGTTCTCGCTTCCAATCCTTATTTAAACGCCAACAGTATGGCTGAACACCTTGGCCGCCAGCTGCGTGAGCAGCCTGGCGCGATCTGCCTGCGGCAAGTCCTGTACGTGGAACAAAGAAGAAGTCAGCAAAGAAAGCCCAGCGATGAGACCCTCGCCCGAGTAACGCATTTGGCTGGAGAAAGAGAGAGGCTGACAAGTTTTTGCACGGCCCAATGACTTCGCTTCACCCAATCGACACATCCACGCTCGCACTGACCTGGAAAACAGCATAGACACTCTTCCCCTTGGTGTCGCGGATGGCGCCCAGCCTGTTCCCGGCTACCGCCCCGGCGAGCAAACCCGGTACATTGGCAACGATGAAGCCCAGCGCACCGCCGCTCGCGCCGCCGACCATGCTCCAGAAGGTGCCGGTCGGGCGGTTCGTACCGTCGCCCTCAGCCATGCCCTCCTCGCGCAGCATCTCCTCAAAGACGTCGCCGAACTGCGCCTCTTCGGTCTTCTGCCGCTCCTCGCTGCTGCCGGCCGCGCCATTCTTGCCGGTGAAGTAGTTCCACGCCCAGGAGTAAGCGTTTTGCGCGTTGGCGCCGCCGGCCTGGGGCGGGACCTCCTCGTCAAATTCGTCCGAATCGAACGGGTCGGCGCCGGCGGCGGGAGCCTTGCGCCCGGACGACGCGCCGAAGATCTTTCGCTGGGCGTCGTATTCGCGGCGTCGCGAAGGATCGGAAAGCGTGTAGTAGGCGTCGTTGACGATCTGGAACTTGCGCGTGCGGGATGCTCGTTCGGGCGAGTCGGAGGGGACGCGATCGGGATGTGTCTTCAGAGCGGCTCTGTGATGGGGGTGGTTAGCGCAAAGGCCGAGTTACGAGGATGGAGTTATGCATGTCGCTCACTTCTTGTAGGCGTCACGGATCTGTTGTGTCGTTGCCGACTCCTGGATCTCCAGGATGGCATCTGGGGCACGTCAGCACACATCCGGCTCTGGCCATGGCGGGGTGGTCCTAGTCGCATACAGTAGTTGGGAGGGGGGCCAGAAGAGGCCATCGTGCTCTTTGTCCCTGTGTCTCGAGTAATAATTCGAAACTTCAGGTTGCAAAAGGTTATCCTGGAGTGGTGAAGTATAGGATCAAAGGCGTAGAAAGACTGGAGGAGAGTCTCAAGTTGGTGAGGTAGGCATGAACGTACCCAGGCATCTAGGTAGCGAAGACCATCCCCCCCGCCAAGAAACCAAACCAACGTCATTGTGGCGGAACTCAAGAAACGCCACACAAAGATGACACGTGGGGCGTAAGATAAGCCGCGATAAGTGGGGCTTGTCGAACGCTCTCCTCCGTCACACCTTGAGGAAGATAAGGAATTCAAATGCCTACTAAGGTATCTTGGAATAACTGACATGGCCCGCCCAAAAACACAACATGCTGTCCAGCACCAGGCTTTCCCATCCTTCTCACTCTCTCGTGCTCTTGAGCTGAAACTCGTACACGCTTCCACACACTCCCAAGGTCATTCAAAGAAAATAAAAACAATCCACACATTGTGCGCATGCCTCGAGTCCCATTACTCCGGCTTCCAATTCAGTCGTCGCCGCCCAAAAGGTATCATGTCGCGTTGCAGTGGCTAGTAGAAAAGCAAGCTCGCTGTGACTGCCTCACGTTTCGTCTCCAATCAGTCCGTGTTCTTCTCTTTGTTCTCATATTCTGGAGCTCCTGGCAATAGCAAGGGCTCCGTACTCCGGGTCATCTCAAGTCGAGCTAGGTTCCTCTATCAAAGGAACACATCTCCTCGCTGTGGTGGCATCGGTCCTACGTCGTCCGCTTGAGCGCTAAACGCAACTGGATTTCGAAGCCTTTTGGCCTTGTGAATGGCAATGAGCATATCAATTAGATACTCAGCATCTGCATGTAGGGCCTCGAGCTCCTCAGGTGTGCAGCCACGTGTCTTGCCGTCAGGGCCAGGTTGCCTATAGGCGGCGAAAACAACGCCACGATCGACCTCTGACCGTGGTTCCATCGAGGCGCAGGTAGTTGTGGACAGCTTTCGTGAAAAGCCTGCGTGGAATGCATGGCCGTATCCGCGCGAGAATTCGCCTTCTCTTGCATCAGCGCTGCGGTATTCGATCCAGCTTTCGTGGCGCAGAATCTTAGCGTGGACTGCAGCGGAAATGCGAAAGGGGCTGGCCACTTTGGATAGTCCATAGGCCGCAAGTAGCCGGCCCGTCATTCCGGCTGCGGTTTCCACGACAGTGCCCTCCATGGAGTCAAGCAACGAGCTCCTGGCGCTGCTGGGCCTGGAAGAGGAAGCTGACTCGCAGCCCGAGGTAGGCGTCGATGCAGCTGCAGATGTATAATGAACCTTCTCAGGCCAGAGATTGACAATGTACACGAGGTCAAACTTGTGCTTAGCTGCAATCTTCGCGATCTGCACAGCACCATGAGCGGCAGCGTCTGCGAGAGGGTTTATGACACTGGCTGTTGAGGATCGCTTCGACATGGGTGTCGTAGCACGAACGGATGTTATCGTTTTTGTCGACGGCCTGCGCAGATACGGTGTCATCTCAGGAGTCGTAGGCTCGTCGGCGCTCAGATCCTCTTCGGCGATATCATCGTCGCTCAGGTCGAAGAAATCCTTGACATCCCCGCCTTTGAGTACACTCTTTGGCTGATTGATGGTTTGCGTAGACGCCAAGACGACGTGTGACTGTGCTCTTCGCAATTCTGCAGCTTTTCTTTCCTTGCGGCGACGGAGGGGTGCGAACATGCTTCTCTTGTCAGCCACACCGAGATCAGGCTCTTGGCCAAGGGGGTCTGACAACGCTTTGATCTCTGGCGATGCTGCTGGTGTTGGAGGATTAAGCGGACGAAGGCTGGGCGTGGAACCGCTTTGAGCTTGCTGCCGGTGGTGAAACTTCAAGTCATCCTCATGGTCAGACGCGGGCGGCGTATCAGCCCGCGAGGGCAAGATGACAGAGCTGTGGCGATGCTCGAGGTGACGCTGTCCCACGGAGTTGGCCGTGGTGGGTGAGCAGGAAGGCGAAGTCGGCAGGTCTGATGAGATGGTTGTGGTATCCTTGGGTGGGAGAGGAAACTTGAACTCCTTGAGTTGAGAGGCATGCAGATTCTTTCTGCGGAGTATCAGGGACATGTGGTGAGCGGGAGGGTTGTTCAGGTCTCCTGTGCTGGCGGTACTGAAAGTGGAGGAGTGCATAGACATGCGCTCGGAGCGGGCTTCAGGCAAGCTACTTGCGCGGCTGTCGTGACGTTCGGCTGGCGTCGACTCATCTCGAGCAACCATGCGCTCGCCTTTTCCCTTGGGTCGCAGAAACGACGGCTGAGGGAAGCTGACGTTGTCCAGCTGCGTAGGCTGGACGTCGACAGCAGGCTCGATGCGGTCCGTGGAAAGGTTTGTTCCTGTGGAAGAGTTCTTTCGTTTAGAGAATAGCCTCTCCAGGCGGTCGAGGCCGTTTGGCATGGTCGTCAACGTCCCAAGAATTTCCTCGTACAAAAGTCGTCGACGTTTCAAAGAGTGGTATCAACTAGTTGAAGCTCGATTGAGGTTCACCAGCGAAGGGCACTGGCAACTCAAAAGCGGTTTGGTGATTTTCGGCGTCTTGGGTGTGAGACGAACCAAGAGAGGCGGTGGCAAGACTGATTCCGCAGAGAGGCTCTCTTCGGGTTGTTGAGTGCCAGTATTTGTTCGTACGTCGCAAGGAAGTGGTGCGTGGTCTCCAGGGGGGGGGGGGGGGCTCGTGGGTATCCAAGGGGCGTACCAGGGAGTTTCTGCTGAAGCGATCGAAATGATGAACGAGGAATAGTTCGGTTGTACTGCGGCCACGGGAAGTCACAAGGGTGAATTCGCTGGGCGGCCGGGAGTCTGGTGGAGGGAGGTAAGGAGAGAGGGTGCAATGAGACAAGTGAGGACGATTGTCTCGAGAGATGCTGTATGCCAGACACGCGTGAGGGGCGAATCAGGAACGATGCGACACAGCGACCCGATGAAGGGACGAGAGGCGTCGAGACAATTACACAAGTCGACGGCTCTGGTCTCGGCGTGGTGCGAGTCGAGCGTGAAGGATTCGGCTTTGTGGTGGTTTGTGGCTGCTCTTGTGATGTTGGTGTTGTAAGCCAAGCAGCGTGGTGCAGGCGTCGTCGCCTGGCTTTGCGAGAGACGTGACGTGTTGCGGATTCGGTTACAAAATTCCGAGCGCGGTCGCAAGGAGATTAATGGCAGCTGTGGCGGCTAGCCAGATCCGAGTGTCGAAACAAATAAAAGCCTGAATGTGGTAGAGACGACGCGGCAGAGCCACAACAGCTTTCGGTGCAGGGCGTCGAGATGGGACGGACACGGGGCCGGGCAGTAGCAGGCGGAGGGGCGGGATGGTGGTGTGACGGGACTGGCGTGAAAAATACGGCAGAAGCAGCAGGAACAGTTGAAACAGCAGGGACAACAGGGACAGCAGAAGGGGCGATACATGTACCAACAGCAGCACGACAACGGGTCAACGGGTCAGGTGCAACAGAAGGAAGGCGCGTTCCGATGGGCGCGACTGCCACCCTCGAGCCTCTTAAGAGTTTCGTCAGATCTGTCGAGGAAG